ATATTTGCGGGGACATTAGGGTTAGGGAAATGCTCTACAGGCCCTCAGATATCATGATGAATTTAAGCGCAAAAGAAAAATGGTGGGAGGAACAAGGGGGGATGCACATCCAGGGAAAGAGGGGAGCAGAGGACAGAGGAGCCATGCCTGAGGGAGACCCACTCCCTGGCAGTTTTTTCACAAGTTTGCAGAGGGCTCCTATGGGCCAGCAAGGGACTGGATGCTTGGAGAACACAGAAACTAACCAAATGCACGTGTATTTAGAGGAGCTCGCCTCCAAAACGTGTGCGCAGGAGAGATTACGATGAAGCCCAATGAGTCGCGCAGGAGAGATCCAAACAAGGTAATCCGTGGAGGAAAAGACCGAGTGTGCAAGGCTTCACAGGGTAGTGACATTTGAGCTTCGTAAGAGGCGCAGCAAAGACGTTTCTAGAAGGGAAGGGAGTGAGCCAAGGTGGGTGGTACAACCCCAGGGACAGCAAGGGAGAGGTGTCCAGAAAGAAGGGCTGTTCAGCAGGGTCATGGCAAGGAGAAATGGCCACCAGTGTGGCAGCTGGGAGGCCTCAGTGGCCCACGAGAGTGGGTTCTCCAGCCGCCTCCCATAGCGGGAAGCAAGACCGGGCCCAGGAAGACGGGTGTGGCCAGTCCTCAGCTCCCTAGCCCTGTGTTCAAATCTTACCACCAGGTGGGGCACAAGAGCCAGAGTGAACCCTCAGCCAGAGCAGGGGTTTTTCCAGAAACAGGATGCCCTGAGGGAAGGGAGGAAAAGTTCTCCCACTCCATCACCACACAGCCTGGAAGGCCTCACTGCCTTCATGTGATCTCTGACTCAGGGGCTTACCCAGATTTTCCCCTTCCAGTTAAAGCAGAACCATATTTTTTCCGTTGCTCCCTTTCTTGGTTGCCTGTAGGACTAAAGGCCTCTAACAAACACACTTTGGGGCGGAGGCTCAGGGCACCACAAAACAGAGGGGACCTGATATCTCCTAATTCAAAATGTCACTGTACAGGCCCAGACAGAGGAGGTGGCTTGTCCAGAATAAACCAAAGGGTGGGATCAAGAACAGAATTCAGATCTCCTCACTCACATTCTCAGGACTCCTTGATTGTACGTAATTTGATGTTTCACCATAGCCCTCTCCCGCCAGTGGTTTCTTGAGGGTAAACAGTAATAGTAACAGTAGCCAACATTCCCTGGGCACTCCAGTGGCAGGTGGATGACCTCAGTCAGTGCTCACAATTACCCTTAGAAGGAGTTTCTTTTATAAGCTTAAATGTTTGCTCAACTCCTCCCATCTGGGCATGTGAATGAGGAGGTGGGGCGGGGAGAGGAGAGGAGAATATAAAAAAGATAAAATCCTTTCTCTCCTTAGACCTGTTCTCCCAAGGCAGGTGGACTCTGGCTGAGGACAGCACCATGAGACCTTGTCTGGTTTCCGGCCTCAGCACCCCACACCCTGCTGGACCCCAACCATCCTTGGCCACGGTGGGTCAGGGGCAGTGACTTGGGAAAGAGTATCAAAACTCCTCTTCCCGTGGCCACTATTGGCCACATTTAGGGAACTTTGCTTCCGCGGCTGCTCCTTCCCAGTCCTCCTTCCTTCCCTGTCTCACCCACTATGGTGGTTTCCCCAGCAGCTGCCTGTGGTTTTGTGCCTGTGCCTTTCCACATGGTTCCCTCTGCCTGGAGTTCCCTCCCCAGCCTTGTCTGCTGGCCCACCTTCCAAAGTCAGCTGCGGTGTCCCCCTCGCTGGAAGCCTCTCCCAGCTCAGGCAGACCTGGGTACACGCCCCAGCCCCTGCTGTTTCCTAGGCAACATCTCCCCCTGTTAGCACGAGTTCGTGTGCCTGACGCACAGTGAGGCCAAACATACCAAAACGTCGGAGTTTGGAGCAGAGAAAGGTTTATCAGGGCAGGGCCATACAAGGAGACGGGTGGCTCACGCCCTAAAAAAACCCCAAGCTCCAGGAAGGATTTCGAAGGGTTTCAGCAAAGCTTTTTTAAAGCCAGGCAAGGGACTAGGGTCGCAGGGTCTGTGATCAGCTCGTGCACAGTTCTCTAATTGGCTGATGGTGAGGTAACAGGGCGGTGTCACAGGGGTTAACCTGATCAATCCTTAGGCTCCAGGAGGCCTGGGGCTATGTGTTCAGGTCATCAAGTAGTTAACATCTTCCCTTTGGTGGAGGGTTTTAGCATCTGTAAAACAACTCAGGAAATGTGCATCAAATACCATTACCCTAGGTACTTAAGAGATGAGCTAAAGCAGAGGATATGGGGGAGGCCTGTCCCAGGAAGGCCCCATAGGGTCCTGCTCGGTTATACCACAAGCAAAGACCCCAGGGGCTTATACTGGTCTGGCCTGCACTGAGATTCTTCCAGGTGAGATAGAGGGCATGTCGTCTTAGCATCGGGTATGTATAGGACACAGAGCAGGCTCTCCAGAAACACTGGAAGAAGAAATGAATGAAATTCTCCTCGGCTCCAGCTGGCCTGACTCTGATCTTGCCCTCGCTACCCCCTCTCCTGGTTTGCCCCCCTCTCTCCAGCCTCCACCCCGTTGCCCCACCCCTTGGTCTCTCACCTGAACTACTCCACAGCCTCCTAACGTACCTCCACGGGTCCCCAGCTCACCTTCGTCTCCTGCTGCCCCGCTCCCCAATTGCAGGTGCCCTGATACACCTCACCTTTCAGTCTAACCCCCCAAAGCTCTGAGCCAAGGCCTGGAGATAGAGGATCCTCCTGCCTGCTCCTCCCCTCAACCCCCAACCGCCCCCTGCCACCAGCCACCCAACTACCCAAAGCACAGGTTCCCTGCTTATAAACACTTCGGTGACCCCTCACCCCCGCTTGCAGAGTCCAGGACCATGAGGCACCTCTAGTTACATCCCCACCTTCACCTCCCTACACGCCTCCCCCAACTGTGAGCTCCAGCCTAGACCCCAGACGGCCCCAGCCCCAGCTTTGCCTGATTCTCCCATGATTGCAACCACTTTTCCTGGGGTTCTGCAGCATGCTTTCCAATTTGGGTCAAAGGCCCCTCCTTTAAGCCCCCCTGGCCTTTAAGCCTCTCTCCTTGACCTCCTGTAACACGCTCATCCCCCTGCTGCCCTAAGGACATAACAGGATACTGAAAGGTGTTTTCGAATGAATGCATCAATGAGACAGATCTAACAACGATCGTAAACAGAGCAAAATATGTACTTTAAAGTGGTAACGCAGGCTGTTTCTGGTGTTATTTTGAGTTACGTTTTTTTTTGCTTATTGGTATTTTCTGATGTTTCGGTAATTGAGCAGGTTTTGTTTTTGTAATTTAAAAAAAAAAAACACCAAAGGAAACTTCATTTTGAAAAAAATACGAAAGGGTTTTGGGATTTCAAAAGTAGGGGGAATCTCCTCATCCTCTGGTGAGAAACAGGAAAGGAATGTTTAAGGGGCCATAGAATTTCTACAAGTGAAGATGGGAAGGCAGGCCAGCCAGAGGGCACACACCACATGCCAGGTGCAGACCTGGGGTGCTGGGGAGGGCAGAGTGTCCCCTACAGATGCAAGATGAGGAATTTTAACTTATCTCATTGAATGTGGGGAGCTGCAGAAAGAATCTTTCTCTTCCAGTTTTACTGAGATAGAATTGACCTGCAGCACTCTATAAATTTAAGGTGTTCGACATAGTGATTTGACTCACATACATCATGAAATGATTACCACGGTGGGTTTAGTGAATACCCACATCTCATACACATACATTAAAGAAATAGAAAAATATTTATATTTTCTCCTTGTGATGAGAGCTCAGGATTTATTCTCTTAACAATTTTCCTTTATAACTTGCAGCAGTGTTAGTTATTTACCTTAAAACGGGAAGTTTGTCCCTTTTGACTACCTTCATCCAATTCCCCTTCCCCTCCCCTCCCCACCTCTGGTAACCACAAATCTGATCTCTTTTTCTGAGTTTGTTTGCTTGTTTTTGAAGTATAAATTGACCTACAACACTGTGTTAGTTCATGATACATAACACAGTGATTCGATATTTCTATACATTTCAAAATGATCACCATGATAAGCTAGTTACCATCTGTCACCATACGAAGATATTACATAATTATGGACTATATTCCCCACACTGTACATTTAATTCCCATGACTCATTTATTCCGTAAGTGAAAGTTTGTACCTCTTAAATCTCCCTCGCGTAATTCTCTCCTACCCCTACCCCCCTTCCCTGTGGCAACCACCTGTTTGTTCTCTGTGTCTATGACTCTGTTTCTGTTTAGTTATATTTGTTTGTTTTTTAGATTCCACATGTAAGTGAAATCATACAGTATCTGGCTTTCTCTCTCTGATTTATTTCACCCCACATAATACCCTCTAGGTCCATCCATGTTGCTGCAAGTGGCAAGATTTCATTCTTTTTTATGGCTGAGTAATATTCCATTGTGTATATACACATCTTCTTTATCCCTTCATCTATTGATGGACACTTATGCTGTTTCCATATCTTGGCTACTGTAAATAATGCTGCAATGAACACAGGGGTGCAAATATATTTTCAAGTAGTGCTTTCATTTTCTTTGGATAAATACCCAGGAGTGGAATTGCTGGGTAGTTCTCTTTTTAATTTTTTTAAGGAACCTCCATACTGCTTTCCATAGTGGCTGCACCAACTTACATTCCCCCCAACAGTGGAGGAGGGTTCCCTTTTCTCCACATCCTCGCCAACATTTATCATTTGCGGGACATTTCTGAGCGGGGGAGAAACACCCTAAGCACTCTGGCACTGGAGCTTCAAAGAGGTAGCAGTGGGCAGAGTCAAAGGGCAAGAGTGCGGGTGATGGGGAGTAGAGGCAAGAACAGAAGCCAGGCTACAGGCTTTGTCTTCTCCTCTGGGCCATCTGAACCTCAAGTCCAGGAAGCACTCCCGGACTGCCCGGCCCTCAGACATATTACTATTCAGTGATGGTATCTGAGAATTACTCTCATAAGCTTCCGACCGATCTTCCCACCTGGACGGCGAGCTTCTAATTCCTCCTGCTCCGCATGATGTGCCGAGTAACAGTGTGCTTCACGAGTGAAGGTTTGCAAGGAGCCGCCCCAGGGAGACATAAGGCCAGGCAGCTTCTCTTTAAATCGAGGCCAAAGCAAGAAGAGCCCTCATTCTGCGGGCAGCCGGCCTTGGGTTAAGGGACCTCGGCCCCGACCACCGGGGAAGGGGTCTCCCAAAGCAGAGGGCTCGAGAAGGACGGAAACCAGGGGACAACCGGAAGGGCGAGGCCTCCACTTACTCCGGGACGAAAGCAGCCGAAGATGACTGACTGGACAGACCCCAGGACTGCTGGGAGGAAACGGGGAGGACGGCGGGAAGTCAAGGCCGGCCGACTCGGTGGGAAGGGCCGAGCCAGAGGCGGGAGGGGCTGCGGCCACCGGACCTGGGCGGGGCGGGGCGGGGCAGGTGGGGCGGGGGCGGGGGCGAGGGCAGGGGCGGGGTCAGGGGCGGGGGCGAGGGCGGGGGCGGGGTCAGGGGCGGGGCCCGGCACATGCGCACCGCGGCGGCGCGCGCCCGAGGAGTGGCACTTTTTAAAAGTGCAGCCCTGAGGCCAACCCACAGCCGCCAGCACCTCGGTCCGAAGCCTGGTCCCGCCCGTCCCGGCCTCAAGCGCCCCCGCCCCACACCAGTCCGGCCCAGGCCAGTCTAGCGCGCACCATGCCGGTCAAAGGAGGCACCAAGTGCATCAAATATCTGCTGTTCGGATTTAACTTCATTTTCTGGGTGAGTGAGCGCGACTGCCGCGCGCTCCTCTCCGGGGCCACCTGTCCACCCCGGGCACCCGGTCCGCGGTCGGGGTTGCCGGTCACCGGCATCGCCTGCGCAGGGGAAGACTCCTGGCGGGAGGAGAGGGCACTGCGGCCGCCAGCTGGCTCCTCGGCCGGGGCTGAGACGGGCTGGGAGGGCACGTTGGTCCGGGGCTGGCCCGAAGCGGGGCGGGCAGGGGGCGCGGGGCCCTAGTGAGCCGGGGGTGTGTGTGTGGGGGGGTGTTTGCTCCCACCCCGATCCCCTCCGAGTGCAGGAGGGAGAAACGGAGCACCCCCTCTGCTGGGGACTCAAGGCCCTGCCCGAAGGGGACTGTGGCGGGCAGTGCAGCTCGTGACCCGGGTGTGGTCCCCCCGAGTGGCCGAGGCCGCAGGGAGGGGAGGATGCGGACCCTCCAAGGGACTAAGGTGGCGCCGGAGGAGTTCAGTGAAGGTCTGTTGGCACCTTTACGCCGGAGAGCAAGGGGCGCGCAGGTCGCGGGTGTCAGCGTCCCGGGCCCCGTCCCTGAATGAGCGTCGGGATCCCTCCTCCACCCCCGAGGGGGAACCTTCAGGCCCCATGCTCTCAGAGATTCTGAGCCGGCGTGAGAAAGTCCGAGCTCCCTCGAAACTACCTGAAAGACTAGCTTGTCTTGATTTTTTTTTTTTTTTCCCCCGAAGAGCGATAAGTATCTGAGCTGGAGAGAACTCCGGGAGAGTTGGGGAGGGGTGGGGCAGATGCCTATCGGCGCCCTCAGTAGGATGAGTCCTCTGTTTCTCCATTTCCGGGAGAGATCAGGTGCCGGCCTCACCCCCTTCCCCGCCAGCCCACCCAGCAGCCGGGCGGGGCCACAGGGAGTGGACTGTCACCTGGGGAGGACGCAGGCCAGGGAGATCCAGGACTCCCGCTGCCGGCCACTCTCAGCCTGTCTGCAAATGGGAAGGCTAAGCCTGGCAGCAGGGAAGGGGAGTGGTCCCTCCGCACCTCTCCTTGAGGGATTAAGGGGCCACCCAAAGAAAGAGGCAAGGAATAGGGGACTTTGGTGTCCTGGTTCACGGGCCACATCCCCTGCTCACAGGTGGACAGTATTTGCCCCTTTGCAGTCAGGAAAGCATTTGGAAAGGCAGGCCCTGTGCCACTCTCGATAGAGATGGCTGTAGAAGCAGGGGCGAGCCACCAGAGGCTTGTAACAAAAATGTGCTTATTTCCTTGGAGCTGCTTCCCCATGAACCCCAGGGAAAATCTCCTGAGATTTAATCCTCTCTCTGGAGCTGACGGGGTATGAGATTGACCTGCCCTTGCAAGACTCATCACACCCAACACCTGCTCTAGTGAGGACAGTGCATAGGTGTGCCCTGCCCAGCCCATGGTCTGCTCTAGGGAGACCCTCCTGTGGTGGGCACCCCCTCCTCCCGGGTGTCCCTGCCAGCCAGCTAGCTGCCAGCCTTGGCTCCGCCAGTCTCCAACTCCGGCTCTAAGAAAGAACGTCAAAGGCTGACTAGCCCCGCCCCACCCCGCCCTTGTCCTTTAAGGAGTTTTTCTCTCCCTCCTCCCTAGCACCGTCTCTCCCCTGCCAGTCTCTTGGTTACTCCTCAGCTATCTGCCTAGGCTGTGTGAGGGTTTGGGGCGCGGGGACCCACGGACTCCCAGGGTGCCTCCATACCCCCCGCCCCATGGCACCTGCAGGAGCCTGGCGGGAGGCTCCCAGGCCACTCAGGTATCTGCTCAGCCTCTCACTGACTCCTGCCTGCCACCCCACTGTATCCAGACCTGCCCCTGCCTGAGCTAGGTGCTGCTGATGGGCTGTGTCATCTGAAACAGAAATGACTCATTCTAGGAACGGCTGGGTATAGAATTAGAAATGACTTTTGAGGTGATTCAGTCCAGCCTCTTCTTCACAGCGAGGAAGCGGGAACCAGAGAGGGGCTGACCTGCCCAGCGTCACGGGAACCCAGCCAATACCCCAACCCCTAGGTCCCTTAAGTCCTGTCCTCTTCCGTTTCCATCACAAAACCAACAAGGGGACCTGGTAACGGGTGGTGTATGGGGGTCAGCAGTAGCTTCATGTCTCTGAATCGTTTATTGTTCAGTCGTCCTGTATTCAGGTCCCTGTAGAGATGAAGCCCTCATCTCCCTCCTAGGAGGTGTTGGAATAAAGGAACACCATGATCCCCTTGTGCAGCATGTTACTGCAAAATCCTTTTCCAAATCTCATTGTATAGCCAGAGCAGGTAACATTCTCCCCATTTTACTGATGACCAGGAAACTAGTCCCCAGAGAGGTTCCACGACTCAGCCAGGGTCATGCGGCAGGATAGCATCAGAGGTGAGTCTGAAGGCAGGTCTGGTTGGCTCCAAGTTCAGCACGCTTTCCATCTCCACCTGCTGCTGTACCCAGCTGAGCGGGAGTGAAAGGAGGGCGGCAACAAGCCCTCAAAAACTAACTGAAGAGAAGCTACGACCTGAGGGAGCTGCTTGCTTGGATTGTTATGATGTCATCACTTCCCTTTCTCTCTTGAGACCAGGAATTTATAAACTTGGTGTTTGGGACCTGATGTGGGCCTTGAAGAGCAGGAGTTGGGAGGCTAGGGGCCACCAGTACCTCATGGACAGAGGATGCTGAGGGGTGGTCCAGCAGGGATCCAGAGAGGAGAAGCCCACCTCAGCGGCAGTGGGGTGATTGGGGCGGGGGAGGGGAGCGGTGTACCTCTTCCCTGGCCCCCAGTCTCATCCCTGTGGGACCCTCAGTGACAGCAGAGCCTGCACTGCCTGCCCTCCCCAAGTAGGGCCTCTGGTGCCCACAGCTAAGCCAGCAGTCAGGCTGTTCTTCCAGTGCCCCCAGGACCCTAACTTCCCAGCTCTGTTTCAGTTGTTTCTGGGTTTCCTTCAGACCTCTTTGCCTACCCACCCTCCAAAAAATTTCGATGGGGAAACATTTTACAATGCCAAAGGGGCAGCCTCAGCTGTACAGTGGGGAACCGGGGCTGGTCCAGGCCAGGAGCAAGGCCTTCACATTCTACCCACCCCCTCACCCCTTTGTTCCCTGCCTCTCACCCTGTCTCCTCCCTCACTGATGGGAATAGCAGGGAATTTCTCTTTCCCAAGAAATGGTGTCTCGCAGGCCTAAGGCAGGCTTCACGGAAACATGGACAGAGGCCTGGACCAGAGCTCAGGGACCTGTGTGTTAGTCCAGCTCTGCCCCCAGCTCACTTTGAGCAGGTCACTTTTGAATTCCAGACCTCAGTTTCCTCATCTGTACAACCAGTGGGTTGGAGCAAATGGTCCAGAAAGGTCCCTTCAGTAGCTCAGTCTATGAAACCAGCCCCACCCCCAGGGCCTAGAGCAAAGGACATTCCCACACAACCCAAAACAGGAGTCAGGAAATGGAAGTGTGCAGTGGGTACCCAGGCTTGACCCAGCGTGGCTTCATTTCATTCGGGGGCCTCTTGGTGTCCTGGGCCTGAGTCGTGCCTCTCTTTCCTGGTAACCCCAAGTTCCCTCCACTCCCCCTGGGTGGGGTCTCTCTGTCTGGGGGGGTTCTCTGTTTTGGTCGCCCTCAGCCTTTTGTGGCAGTGCTGCCTAGGGGTCAGAGTGGCTCTGGGTTGGATTTGCCCGTCACCGTGTGGAGCTGGTGACTACCCCCTGGGGTTGCTGTGGGTTATAGGAGCGCATGCCCGTGATGCACTTAGCCTCCTGGATGAGAAGTAAATTTCCAGCCGTAGCTTTTGTCATCCCTGTATGGAAAGGAGGTTGAGGAGGTGGGGAGGGTGGGAGCACTGGCCTGAGGAAGTGTGGAAGTTGAAACCAGAGAGAGGTAGCCAGGTGCACATGCCACATCCACACACGTCCCCCCTTCTTCTCATCCTGCATCACTGCCAGCCTCGTTCCTCCACACACCTCTGCGATTCCCACCTCAGGACCCTGACTCCATTTCATGTGTGGCCGCAAGTCTGACTGTGGGGCAGCCCCACTTCTGAAAATAAAACTGCGTGCAGAGAAATCCAGAATGCGGGGTCCGGGCGGGGGATGGGCGAGCGGGATGGCACTGGCAGAAGCCCCTCCCACCCAACCTGCTGCTTCACCCAGAAGCTGTTTGCCTTCAGTGCTGGACTGAGCAAGCAGCTGGGGCTCTTGCGTGAAATGGCTTCCACCTTTGGCACCCAGACAGCCCGAGCCCTGCGAGAGCCGGCTGTGTTTGCACAGAGGCTGGCAGGTTTGGGGAGGCCAGGTGTCTGCATCTGCTCAGGAAAGTAAGACTTCTCCCTGCCCGGACTCCTGAGGCTTTCCCCCCACTTTGCCCCGCGATGGTTGTCAACAACAGATGGGACTCCTGATTTGGGGAATGGGGAGGATTCCTCTACGCGCGCGCGCACACTCACCTGGCACCATTCCAGACCTTACCCTCTTGTGCTCAAAGGAAGCAGCTGCCGGTTCAGACCTGAGTTTGGAACCGCTTTGATAAGAAGCCCTTTGGAGCACTTACTCTGCTAAACGAGTCTTCTGCGGCTTCAGACCTCACACATCACCGTTCTCACATCTTCCTTTTGTGTCAGATGCAAATCTTCACTATTAACAC